CTTCAAACTCACAGAAAATACTCTTCAACGACTGTAGATTATTCAGTCAAAGTATGAAGGTTAACTATTGTGTAGTTCTGGAAATTCATTGAGGACGAGCACTCACGATTGAAACATATGTAGACGAGCGAGGGTGAAGAAGTAAGGGTCGCTCTTTCTACTATAGAATCTGCGTTCAATGCGCATCTTAATTATGAAAAAATAATCATAGAAACCTATAATTCCGAAAAACGTTGGTGAAAACTTTTGTTATATATGTTTCAATCGTGTTTTCCAGAACTACACCATAGTTAACCTTCATACTTTGACTGAATAATCTACAGTCGTTGAAGAGTATTTTCTGTGAGTTTGAAGTCGAATTGATGTTCCTAGAATGAGTTATAAGTTTTTCTTGAAAAGAACCTCATTTCAAGGACCTCGCCCGTAAAATAGCTGTATTTCACTGACTACTAACAGGCAATTCATAAAATATTATATTGTAGATAGAGTAGAATCGTGGCTACATTTTAGTAAAAAGAAAAACTTTTCATCTCTCGTAGGTCAGGAGCGATTGATATTTTACGAAAAAGACATAAATCGCTTATATCTCACGAACCATCTAGTAACAGAGGCCCAAACTTGGTGGGTGATCAACATTTGGCAAGAGCTATGAACACACAAAAGTAGAGTCCCTAGTTATCATGATTCTTGAGTTACAGGGGGGCGCTGCTTTAGAGGAGTACTATACTAGAATTTTTGAAGTTCTTCTCCTAGATTCGATCTGCTGACCTTTCATACACTATACCTCTCGAACTACGTATTTTCCCATTGCACTAAATTGTGCAAAAGGAAACTACGAGTTATGATAATACGTTCGTATTATACACCGTATATATTTAAATAGTCTTTACATGTGATCACTCACATGTTACTAGCTATACTATACATCTAGGAGATCTAGAAAAAGAACTTCAAAAATTCTAATAAAAACTCTCCTATAAACAATATTCTCGAGTACTGTACTAGTCAGCAAATTTCCTTGAAAAGACAGATGATTGTCCATTGACGTATTTGCTTTTACTTTTATTTAGATGTAAAATGTCTTGTAAAAGAAGCTGGAAGATGAAGACATTGAACGGTTCGTACGCGTTCACGATGCTCTATTTCGTTCCAATAGGTTTTATTCATTATAGTTTGGTTTTACAAATTATATTTTGTCTTCTTTTGGATGAGAGTATGCGCAGGCTTCACGATTGACCTTGAACAGGTGCCAAATTTGGCAAAAAATAATCAAAAATTTCAAATTTTTTAAACGTCAGAAAACTTGCATTTTCAGCAAAATTTTCTTAGAAAAAATATTCAAAAAAAATTGAGCGAAAGTAGACCAGATTTGAGAGGAGAAAGCTTGGCCTAATCGTGAACTCTGTGTATGTGATCTATTCAAACACACTATATATTTTTTCTTTTTTTTGTCCTTGTTCTTAGTTGATTTGTTTTCTTTGAATGCACTGTATTAAAAGCGGAAAATGAGCGAATGTAAAATTTTTGTTGCTCCGTTGTGTATGCCTGTTCGTTATTGATTTCTTACTAAAAATAAAACTATACTAAGATAATCTGTATCATTTTCTTTAAAAGATACTCATTCGTATGCGGTAAATTTCATCGTTATTAACATAATTCGAGAAAGGTCTGTACGTAAATTGCATCCTTTGAAACAATGTGTTCGAATTGTTCATATGTTCATTTACACATTTATTATATTGTAAAGTGTCATTTACAATATTGTGATCGGCGATTCCTACCCTTGAATCTCGAATGTTCACAAGACAAGAAATAATACCTGATAATCATTTTTTGTTTATCTTGTTTAAGATGGCAGCAGCAAAAGAGACCAGGACAGCTGAAGTATTGCTATCAGAAGCCAATAAAAAATCCAGATCAATAGGTAGTCTTTTTAATAAAGTATTTAGCAATGCGTCGAATGCTCTTGAAAATACACGTGCTCTTTACATGAAAGCTGGGAATCAAGCGAAAAGTGAAGGCAGATACGATTTAGCTGTTGAAGCATATAAAAAAGCATTGTCTGGTGCTGAACAATTTGAACAAGCATCGTGTTATGAAAATATTGCGGCATCGTATATGATGTTTGAGCCATCAAAAGCCATTGGAGCATTTCAAAAAGCAGCTGAATTACATTGTACATTGAATCGTTTTCCAACTGCAGCTGGTTGTTTAGAAAAAGCAGCAGATGTTTATGAACAGTGTGAGAATTTCGAAAAAGCCAATGAATGTTTAATAACGGCACAACGATTTTATGTACAAGAGCGACAGAAAGCATCAGCCGGAAGAGTTAAAACACGAATGGCTAATATTCGAGTTCAACAGCGGAAATTTATGGATGCAAAATTATTATTTGAAGAAATGGCTGAATTAGTGAAAGATGATTCACTGTTACGTTATGGGGCAAAAGATCATTACTTTCGGTAAATAAATTTCTCCACCTTCAGCGGCGGTGGCGGTGGGATAAAATCAACCATCAACCGTCGGCTCAGATCTCTATTTGAAACCTTTACTATTCCCTTATACCTGAGTATATTGATCTGGTATAATGTTTGTTTGTTTTGGATTTGTTTAGTGCTGTTTTGTGTTCACTGTGTATTGATGTTGATAATGGCCAAATTGTTTTTGATCAATACACAGCAGACAATCCATCGTTTGATAATTATCAACCGGAGGTAAAATTATTACGAAATCTTATTCAATGTGTACGTGATGGAAATAAAGAACAGTACGTTCAATATATTAAAGACAGTCCATTAGCATCAATTAAAAACGATAAATACATCAAAATCTTAATTGAAGATATTAAGCAAAAAATAGATGGAGACATTGATTTGAAATGAGTATTTATTATTAAATTTGTACTTAGAGCAATCATATCATTTTTAGCATCACGGAATTGCACTTTTTATTTGTGCAATCTTCCTATTTTCTGTGTAGCAAAATCTCTATTTTCTGTGTAGCAAAATCTCTGTTTTCTTATGTTGACAAACGCTCATTGTATTAAGCGTATTTTTGTACAAAAAAGCAATGAATAAATGTTTTCGTATTTGTTTTGCATTCCATGTTTGTATTAATTCTTTTTCCTACTTCTACTCATAATAGAACAGCTCATGAGTTTGTGCTCAGGCTTTTGAACAGCCTATCATCATTATTTTTGTGATCATTTATTCTCAATGTTTTATTTTTCGTTATCCAAGTTATTTATACTTGGAAAGAAAATTATTGCTGAACAAATAAAGACAAATGAAATAGGAAATATTGATATTGATAGTGAACACAAATAATTTTTTTTTAACTTACTCAACAGAGTACAATACTGCTGACCATTCATTTAAACAACTTTGTTGAATTTCTGAGCTTGAACGTATGTAAAGCCAATCGGCCTTGTTTATGATAAACATCACAAAGTTCATTAACTTGTTGAATCTCAAACATCAAAACCAAACCAAAAAATGTCAGTGAGACAAAATACGGAGAGCATCATTCGAGTATCTCGCATCCTCCCTCATTCGATTAAAAGTTCAAGGTTCTAAATAACTTTATCATTTGCTATAGTATGAGTAACAACTTTTAAAAGACGGAGGGAATTTTGCCTATCCTACGGGATTTTATGTTACAATAAAGGTAAAATGTCTCTCTTTAAACATGAATTCCATTAATAATGGCGAGAGCCATTTATCCCATCTTTGTATCCAAAAATTACAAAATCATAAGCTATAACACCTACAACTGGTAGGAAAACAAATCCTTTTGAGCACTCCGCTTAACAGCTGCCATCGATTTATAGTATCTTTTTTGTACAAAATAAAACAACAATTTTACAAAGTACACATGCTCAACTCGATTCAACTAAGCATGCTTTGCTCTAAGTCAGATCTGAGAAAACCTACGATGCTTCACATTGTTTCTTCGATATCATCAGAAATCATGCTCTTCGAATCGCTCTTCTTGTATAGTGGTAGAAAATGAATATGTTTTCTGTTTCGTTGAGGTCCTGTTTTCTCTTATAAAGGGAAAAAGATCGTTAACAATCTTTCCAGATGCTTTCTTCATAACAAACGTAATGAATACGAAACTATTTGAACTTTTTCAAAAGTTACACTATGCTATTTAGTTTGTTTCGTATAGTTTTATCGTCTACAAAACACTATCACTAATCAATTTAAATATTGATCTCAATAAATTGTTTTTCTTTAATCAGTATTCTATTATCGTTACAGTTTATCAATATCTAATACTGTCATGTTTGTTCGATGTGTTTTTTGAGAATTTTCCTAGAAAAAGAAACATTTTAAACACAACAACAAAAAATAGAATAACAGAAAATGATATGAAAAAGCAAATGTTAGAAATGACACTGATACACTCGGAAAATCATTCATCTTCCTTTTTAGTAAAAAAGACATCACAATGTGTGAAAAAAATCGACGATAGTCCTCTTTCATTCACATACATTCATCACCATGTCTTCCACCTTTTTTCTCTTCTTTGTCTAATTTGATCATATCATCTATACGTAAAATTGTTATGGCTGCTTCAGTGGCATATTTTAAACTTTTTATTTTTGATACTGCTGGTTCAAATACACCAGCTGTTTTACAATCACGAACTTTTCCGGCATGTAAATCAAGTCCAAACCTATTATAAAAGAGAACAAGTTCGAAGTACGTTCATCAAACGAATGATATGAGTGTCCATTACCATTTTAGTTGATCTTTATCTTTTTGTGTTTGCGATGCATTATGATATGAACGTAATTTTGCTACTAACTCAGTGGCATCTTGAGCAGCATTAACAGCCAATGATTTCGGTATTGACAGAAGAGCAGTAGCAAACTCAGCTATAGCTAATTGTTCACGAGAACTCTATAAAATAGATTAAAAATATAGAGATATATTGATTAATCTGCATATCTTCATTATTATTGATAACAGAAATCAATATACTTACAACTGTAGTAGCAAAATTTTCTAAATAAATTGATAATGCTGTTTCACAGCATCCTCCACCAGGTACAATTTGTTTCGATTCCAAGACACGTTTAACAACGCATAACGCGTCATGAACAGAACGTTCAACTTCATCGCACATAAAATCGTTTGCACCACGTAATATAATCGAAGCTGCTGTACGAGCTTTTGGCCTTTAAGAGAAAACGAAAGTATATACCAGTTCTCTATTCTACTTTGATGTTCTCTATTTATATATACCCTCGGATAAGAATAAGTTCATCATCACAAATTCGTTCTTGAACAACTTCATCGGCATTTCCAATAACAGATGCATTCACCGATTCATCGCCCTCCATATCGGCTAATGCTGTTAATAATTGAGCTAAGAACAGACAAACACAGCGACATGTTATACCATCAACAGATGTTTTTGATAATCTACCTCCAGTTGCTTTAGCAATTCGTTTTAAATCTTGCTTTTTACATCTTCGCACGGCCATCGCTCCCGCTTCAATAAACTGTTTTAAACACAAATCATCAATACCGCCTGTTGTTAATATAACGTTTGCTCCAGCATTTAATAATTTCGCCACACGTTCTTTGGCTATATCCGTCTCTCTAAAAGAAAAATGAACAGCTCTATATAACAATTAGCAATCATCAAATGGAAAAAGTGATCACTAAGAGTGAAGAGAACAACCTAGAGAATCGGTTTCACAAAAACCTAGATTAGTTTTAAGTTATCATCAAAAGACTGCTTGGATATAAACAAACCTTCGTCGTATTGCTTCTAATTTCTCTGGATCTTCCACAACAATTTGTACACCAAGTTTCATACGAGCTTTCTGTAAACTAAAATCCAGACATGCTATTTTTGCATTAACAACACGTTTTACCATGGCTAGAAAAACAGATACAACTCATTCGACAATTGCCAATTCTGAAAAGAGGTAACAACAAAAGTTCTCACCTTGTGAAGCAACTGTACAATTTAACGCATAGCCCTGAATAAGTTGACTTTCAAGTGTCGAGCGTCCATGTGCTTTTAAAATATTGATTGATTTAATGGGAATAACGGGAACACCTTTTGAGTCGTTAAATTTAACCAGATTGCATGCTTCTATACACATATTGGCAAAAAAATCTCCATCTCTAAAATCATCTTGTTAAAGAACATAACCAGTTGAATAAGTATATGAAAGCAAGCTAAAACATGGAAAAAAGGATACGCTCCGATTAGTTTACTGGCCATTGCTGTTTTCGCCACATTCATAAGACAATCACGCCCAAGGTCATCAACATTAATCACCATTTTATCTTGAATATATTTTACGGCTAATCTAAACAAAGATAAAACGTTTCACCAATAGTATCACGAAAAGTTTTCCCATCTTACTTGCACGCTAGTTTAAAGCCACTGATAACAGATGTGGGATGAATTTTTTGTTTCACTAATTGATCACCATTTTTTAATAATTCAGCAGCAATAATAACCTAAAAAAGACGACACTTTACTGAAACAAAAAGAATTGTTAAATAAAAAAACAAAATGTCAGCAGATATTTTAAACGTTATTTTCTGTAATATCTGACTTATTCTTCGATATTTCGAACTATAAAAACTCACTTTCAAAGAGAAGCATACAACTGGCATTAATATCTTTAACCTTTATTCTTACTCGAATTTTTAGTTTCGATTCTTACCACACTTGTTGTTCCATCTCCTACTTCTTGATCTTGTAATTGCGCTAATTCAACTAATACTTTGGCTGCAGGATGTTCAACTTCTAATAATTTTAATATTGTCGCACCATCGTTTGTTATTGTTACATCCTTCAGAGTGAAATGAATATACAGTAATTAACTATTCTTTCACCAAAGTTGGAGAATAACATACTCCAATATCGTCTACAAGCATTTTGTCTAAACCAAGTGGACCGAGTGACGTTCGAACAATATTTGCTATTGCCATTGCTGCCAAAACTATACAAAAAAAAGAAGACATATTTTATGATTCATAAATTTGCAAGCCACAAGGTTCTGTATATTTTCACAGTACGTACCATTTTGAGTACGGACAGATTCTCCAGTGATTCTTTCACCTCCTAACGATAAAGGTGTTGATGTCATAACTTACAGACTAATTTTTGATTAATCTAAAACAAAAACAAAATTAACAAATAGTTTGTCCAATTGTCCACTTTAGCCACTAAATTCACTAAATGATACAACTGATGACAGATTTTGATGATCATTTATTTGTCTGCGTCATTTCCCTACATCTATTATTGATCTTAAATTTCATATATATAGGTTTCTAACTGACATTGGGAGGACCCAACTTTCGAATTCATCAGTATCTTTTGTTTTATGTTTAAAACTGATTACTGGAATGATTACTATACAAACTCCTTTTATTTATGATACTATCATACATGATTCGTCTTTCTTCTTTTTTCTGTTCTGTACTGTCGTCAAGATAAAATTAACGATATGTTTATGGAGGTAGATAGTCTATGTTGATTCGTTGCTACGAGTGCAAAAACAGTACTAAAGATAGAGACCACTATGTGACACCAATCAATGCCCTAGAAATATTAATCTCGATTTCTTCGTCTTTTCCCATGAAAACTAGGATTTTCATCTGTAGAAAACGTGTTAAAAAGTGTATCACTGAGAATACTATAATATCTGTGATATCGCAATATTAGAAAAGAAGCAAGAGAAGCCGTATTTAAACAAGTTTATTGAACTGGGCAACTACACGGAATGCCATGACCAAACAAACACAACTTCTTTAATCTTATTTGTGCTTCGTTCTACTCTATGATAGTTCACATCCTGTATATTCCTTGAGCGATACTAAATCTTTAAAAAATTCTTTCTCGACGTCGACTTGAAACCTGATTGGCGCCACCTGTTATTGGATTGATATGTCAATTCGTGCCGTTTACTCATTTCACGCAAACATTTTTATTTTGTACATGTGGTACTGTTTCTTTTAGACAGTACGATATCCTTCTGCTATTTTAGTCTTGACGATCAAGTCGAGATTATAATACTTTTCGAAGTATTATAATCTCATTGCAACAAAGTTCCATGAAAAACATAATGGTCAAAATATATAAAACAAAAACGATTATTATATTACACTAAATCAGTCTTTTTAATACCAAAGTTGAATAGTAAAAAGAGAATGAAAAATTAAGTTGGGTATAAACGTCTGCAGACTATAAAAAATATTGCAAGTCTGTACCAAAATAAAGCGTTCTGTTGACAGTGATTATAAGATATATTCGATTCAAAAAATTAGACATTGTTATTAAACAATTTAAAAAAGGTTTATTTAATGACCGGTGGATCAGAAATGCCTACTTGTAAGATGCAGGAGGACAAAAGAAAGAAGAACACTGATTCTGATGGCCAGTATGATGAACATATATTTGTCAATTTTTAAAATGACGTGTTTACTTTAGCAATAAATCACAAACATTTCACGTTCAGCCTTAACTCAGAATAGAACACTATTGAGAATCTTATTATCTACTCTCTCTCATTCTTTGATTTCAAGTTAAAGTTATTACTAAAAGCACTTTTATAAATATTTATTGTTTGAAACAAAACTCAAAGTAAACTTGTTTTCTATTGTTAATAAAATAAGAAGATTCACACGTCTCATTGAAGACAACAAAACTTTTCAAAATGCTAATCTACTTTTTATATCTATTCTATATCATTTTTTCGTTTGATGATTTAGTTAAAAAATGCGCTTTTACGGTTGATATTATCGTGAGTTCAGATCTTCTTTTTTATATTCTATTTGATGATGGTTTTAAATACGTTCATTACTTATATCAAATCAATGACTAACTTGGTAGAAAAAATAAAAGAATTTGAAAATTTAGGATGTATTTATGAAAAAACTCATTTTATCATAAATTTCAGGTAAAAACCACCTACATCGCTGATTTTTAAGCATCTATTTCAACTTGATGGATTTGTAACAGAGAATAACAATCTTGACAGTCTTCAAATCAAATTACAAATCGTTATGGTTAGAAAGGAATGAAAATATGCAAGAGTTCCAGTTAAGATTTTCCGTTACGCAAACAAGAGTTCTTTGGTTCACTTTAAAAACCATATACATTCTTGCTAAATAGCTGATCATTCGTATGGATTATTATTTGAAACACGGTGTTACAATTCCTAAATTTTAGAGAGAAAGATAGCTTATTGTCACCTTCTCTAACACTAACCCGTTTTCTACATTCTTTTATTCTATATTACACTCTAAATTAAAGTCGTAGATTAATAAACTATCAAAAAGAGTTTATTAAGACCAATAAACCTTTTAAAAAACGCTTTTCCGTTTTTAGAGTGTACAAATATTTGTTAGTTTTTAAAATATTTTACATACAAAATGCAGTGGCTGAAAAGTAATTCTGCAATTGGTATCTGCACTCATTATGCATTTAGAGTTAATTGTCAAAAATATATTTGCATTTTTATGGTTGATAAGGTATAAGATCGATGACTATTCAAGATTAAAGTTTATTATATAGAAAAAAATTTCTATCTTTAATAAATAGTTGTATCGAACGTTATTACCGTCATACATTTAAGTTACAAAGGCGATAGAAATTGTTGAAAAGGTCACTGTGCTCTTTCTAATGACGTGTATATTTCTTAGTAACGAAAGCAATCAGAAGAAATGCATCAGATAATTTCATTTATTTATTAGCGCTCAAACCAAAACAAAATTATCGAATTACATTGAGCTAGAGACTTTCAACCCGACCCGACCCCAGAGTCGGGTCGGGTTCGGATTGAATATTTGGCGACGCAATTTAAAATATAAATAATATTTTTAGCTTTGTATTACTGGTTGAAAGTTATCTCTACTGGAATTTCCAGTTGAAAGACTTGTTTCAGAACA